ATTTAAAATCTAAGTTTTGATGTTAATATTTAAAAAAATTAATTTTTTTAAATATACTAACCCAATATAAAAGGGCGCCCTTAATATTGAAAAAAAAATATATTTTTAAAATATACAAAAATAAATTCAAAAACGTTCTGATCACAAATAAAAAATATATATATACATAAGCACACGTGACTCTCGTGTAGGAAAAATGTTCAGTCATATTACAAGACGTCATTAGTGTAATATTTTCACCCTTTTTTCTAATTATCTCCGCATGAATTACTTACTACTTAAGTAGTTTAATGATTATTTTTTTTTGTTAAAAATAAAAAAATTTAAATTCAAATATATATGAGTGAAATAAATTAAAAAATAAAAAATTATTATCTCTCATTATATAATCAAAATAAATAATAATAATCATAATAATAATCTCCACATGAATTTCAATTCCCTTTTATTGCATTCTCCTATTATGGTTCATTGATGGTCACTGCAATTTAAAAAGAATTACCGGTGGAATGCATCCCGATCAATTGTCGAACCTTACCAAAAAGTAAGATATTAACCTATAACTCTTAACTTTTAACCATTACCTTATCACAAAAAAAAAAAAAAAATTCCCTCGTATTAGGATTGAGGCGGTCATAAGCAGAGCGGGCTTCACACGGATCCAAATCCCCTGCACCAAAAATTATACAAATCTAAAAACGAAAAATGAAACGCCCACCGTGGGGCTCGAACCCACGACCACAAGGTTAAGAGCCTTGCGCTCTACCAACTGAGCTAGACGGGCTTCTTGTTGATATTGTTCTGATGAATTTATAATATCCTTGGTTCACGGGACGGCAGAGAATAGGTTGAGGAAGGAGTCATCGAGTCCTGGCAGCTAAAACATCACCAGTCCATCTTCCTGTCATTCCGAGGTGCAACACGGAGCTTTCAGAGAATGGGGTTTCTATGGACGATTCTGGAGCTCTCCGTTGCTCTGCTTCTCCTTCTATTATGTGGTTTAGCTTCTGCAATCGTCTTCGAAGCTTATAGAAGAAGACATAATAACGCGTATTTTCTCAATCATTAAACCCTAATCTTATCTATTTTTATTGATCCTAATTGTTATTGATTATTTTCTTTATTCAAATCCAGTCATGTTGAAGCTCCGGCGATCTTCGAGGATCCCAAATCTCCGAAACAGGTAATGCATATCGATATAATTGAATTTTCCATTCCCATATTTGTGTTTTTGAATCTCTTGTTTGGTTACGGAGAAAATCAGAGTAAATCCCTTGCATTTATGTTTCCGGTCGGGTCAGTTAGGAATTTTTGTGCAAGTCAACCTCATTAACATTAAGCTATAGGAGCTAACCCTAAACTTAAGAGCTTTCTTGTTCCTGTTGCTATAAAGATTATAACTTTTGGATTTGGATGTCGGATTGGACTTGTTTCTTAGCCCCTTCAAATGTGGTTAACTGATTCTTTATTGGTGAATTGAAGTAAATTTGTTAAGCAAATGGTTGGATTTTAAAGTACATCTTGCTTATTTCTAATTTTATTTCAATTGAGATACATATGTGATTAGCTATAGGACAGAGGTAGCATCTTCTGGTAAAAGAATATTTTACTGGGATCTGAAGTGGGTATTATGATTTTTGGTGATGGAATTGCTGGATGCTTGTTTTTCAGGTTCCTTGTCCTTATATTTCTGATCCAGCTGAGAAGTATTTATCATTGATAATCCCGGCTTTCAATGAAGAGTATAGGCTTCCTGGTGCACTTGAAGAAACAATGAAGTAAGTTGAAGCTCAATCATCTATTCTACTGCTAGTCCTGTTTCCTTCTTAACAGTCATCATCGATGTTTGTGGGTTTGCTGTTTATGTTTGAGGTTTATGGAAACACAAATATTTACTGAGTTGCATGTCACTTGTGATGTGAACTGCTACATCAGATCAGATGAATCCTTAAAACCCTACTCTGGCTTTCCTCCATGTATGACAAAACTGGAGACTGATACGCAAGATGATTCAGTTTATCAAATTTCATCTCTCATGATAACTATCTACGATGGAGTTAAGTGATATGAATATGATACTGGCATTGACTGACAATTTTATGCAGCACTGACATGGGTCCCTTTCATGGTTTTTCCATTTCCATTTGCATCTTTATGTCATAGCCTAGCTTCTTTTGTTTGGTTGTATTATATGAAATGATTTAATAAATATATGGCTTTTGTGAAATTGTATTAAAAATGAGTCTTGTTATTCCCTTTGTAGTTATCTTCAAAAACGGGCAGGAAAGGATAAGACATTTTCTTATGAGGTAACATGTTCCTTCATTTAGCTGGATCTCATGATTTGTTTTTATTTTTTTTCCCACCCTTGAAGTGCAACAATTCTATAAATCATTTAAATTGAAATTTAGACTTTGTTCTGGTTCATGATCTGATAAAGTTTTCAGAAATGTCCATTTTGCTAAGTAGAAATATATTGGTGTCAATTCCTAGCCATGCTATAGTAAGAGAAAATAAAGTACACATTTGTTTCCTAAATCTTCTTCATATCTTCTATATCCGTTTGTAATGAGTTCCTGAGCAGGTATTGATTGTTGATGACGGAAGCAGGGATGCAACCAAAAGGGTAGCATTTGAATTTGTTAGGAGATATGGGGTAGACAATGTAAGGGTCATCCTTCTTGGTAGGAACCATGGCAAAGGAGAAGCAATAAGAAAAGTGAGTCTAATCTAAACTGCACTTTTGCATAGTTACAAACATTTATCTGAATGCTATTGAAAGTATAATTTTTCCCTGCTCAATCATGACAACTGATTGAAGCTCGTCACATTTGTGAAAGCATTGTAAAAACAGGGAATGCTTCATTCACGTGGTGAACTGCTTCTAATGCTAGATGCTGATGGGGCTACCAAGGTTGATGACTTGGAAAAACTTGAAAATCAGGTTTGTACAAATTGTGACCATCCATACTGCTGATTGTTTAGGGTCACAAATTACCTTATCTTTTTGCCTACCAGATCCGTGCAGTTGCCAGAAAAGATTATCATCACGAAGATTCAGCAGCTGGTGACTCAAGTTTTAGAATATCTGATATTCAAATAGCTGCTTTTGGTTCGCGTGCTCATCTGGAGGAGAAAGCTCTTGCTACAGTTAAGTTTCCTAATGGTGCCTTTCCTGCTGCTATATAGTTTGATTCTTAATTGTTTGGTAAATTAAAATTTTCATTTTGTTGAATGAGTTCTACCTTTGTTTCAGAGGAAATGGTACCGCAATTTCTTGATGAAGGGTTTCCATCTTGTGGTTCTATTGACTGCTGGTCCTGGAGTTCGTGATACACAGGTCTGTTTCCTCATTATCCAAATTTCTTTCTAGTTGCAGTCTTCAACTGTGCACCACATCCTTCTTCTATTTAGCCTTTTTATTGTAATGGGAAGAATGTGATCAATTTGGGGTAACTATTCTGCTTTTTGATGCTTTGCAGTGTGGTTTTAAGATGTTTACTAGGGCTGCTGCTAGGAAGCTTTTTACAAACATCCGTTTGAAAAGGTGATTTCACTTGCAATTTTGTTAGCTTTTGCACGCTATTGATTGCCTGGTCTACCTTTTTACATGCACAAACTTGTTCAATTGCTCATGCATGCTTTTCTTTGTCGATCACATCAATTCTTACTTTCTGCCACTTTCATGATGTCCATTATAAATCTATTTTTTTGACGACTTGCACCATGGAAGTGATTCACTCGTAAAGTTTGCAATGATTTTGTGCAGGTGGTGTTTTGATGTGGAACTAGTTTTCCTTTGCAAACGGTTTGGCATCAGAATCATTGAAATATCAGTGAACTGGTCTGAAATCCCTGGTTCCAAGGTGAATCCATTGAGCATACCCAACATGCTTTGGGAGCTTGCTCTCATGTCTGTAGGATACAGGACCGGCATGTGGAAAATTCGACCCTGAGCTAGTGATTCAACTGGCACGTTCCATAGAAAGAGAAGTGACAGCTAATTAGAGACAACTTCAAGATTCTACACTTTTTAGGGAACTTTTGGGATGAGGTGGAAATGAGTTACAACGAGATTGTTTTTAAATTTTAACACAATTTAAGCCACCACTTTATTCTGTTATTACATTGTGATGACTAAATTGAAGAGTTCCTTTTTTTTTCCCTTTTTTTTTTTAAGTAACATTATTAGAAGTAATTTTATATATTTTTTAAGTGGTTTTCTTTTATGAAAATAATATAATTATAATATACATTATTATAATTTTAATTATAATTAATGTATTATTGTATAATTAATTTTTATTTAAAAATTTATCAACAATATTATTTTTATTTATTTATTTAATATTAGGTCATGAATGGAAGTGAGAAATTTCGATGGTTAGCATATCATTGCTGTGGATTTTATTATTTATTTATTTATTGTTATTATTTTTAATTTTAGTTGTATAATGAGAAATAATTATTTTTTATTTTATTTTACTTGTATATCATGTTATTTGAATTTAAAATTTTTTATTTTTAATAAAAAAAATAATTATTAAATTATTTAAATTATTAATCATTACAGTATATTTAAAAGAAGCAAAAACAGCGAAACTGGCTCTTCAAGCTAAAGTCAACACGGTGCTGAACGTTGTTTAGTGACGTAACCCCCGCGAAAAGGGGTTCTTTGCGCAAAGTTAACACAAAATTTTTGTTCACGTAGTTCTCACCTCCTTTTACTTTGAATGTTAAAAAACCCATTCTTGACTTCAACTTTTCTTGTAAATTATTCCAATGAGATGGTATTTACATAAGCAAATCCAATTTTTGGAAGAGCAGTTAGTCATTGTCTCTGTCTGTCATAATGGAGTTGTTGTGCTCTCTTACGTACTTTGACAGGCGTCTTTAGACAGTCATTTTCTTTAATACCCTTCTTCTTTCTTAGACAACCCTTAATCCTTCAAACGGCAAATTAAACAGGCAAAATGGGCAGTCTAATCTTCCATGAATTCAAAAGGCAAGCATCAATCTTCTTCAAAGAAAAATTCAAGACTGCTAGATTGGCTCTTACAGATGTTACCCCTGCAGAGCTGTAAGTCTCTGTATTTTTAATACGTATTTTCAATGCTATGATTCTTGATTCTTGATCTGGGTCTTCTTATACCCATGTTGCTGAAATGGGTTTCTTCCACTGTTTGATTCTGAAGATTAGCAGATGAAACCACGAAGGGAAACATGTTATCACCCGACGCAAACAGCCTGGGGGTAATATCACGGGCTGCATTTGAAGTCGACGATTATTGGCGAATTGTTGATATTATACACAAGAGGTTTCTCGGTTCTGTTTTTTTGCTAACAGATTTTCGCTGAAAGCAGAAAAATGTATTCTCAGCTTCTCCTTTTCTGATTCGGCTTTGTTCAAACTCAGGTTATCGGAATTTGATGGAAAGACCTGGCGGACATCTTACAACGCCATGGTGTTATTAGAACATCTGCTAACTCATGGACCTCTGAGGGTTTTCGATGAGTTTCAGAGTGATAAAGGTGCGATCCAGGATATGGGAAACTTCCAATATGTCGACGAGAAAGGGTTAATATACATAAATTCTATTTTGGTTCTATATTCGTTATTTCCATGATTGAAGAATGATCTCCTTTTTCTTGATTTGATGCAGATTTAACTGGGGCTTGAGAATTACAAAACTATCTGAACGAATCTTGATGCTCCTTGAGAACAAGTTATTTCTCAAGGGAGAAAGAGAGAGAGCACGAAAGCTGACGCTTGGGATCAAAGGGTTTGGGAGCTTCAATCAACGTTCCTCGGCAGTGGAGGAAAGATTCGACTCTTCTGAATGGTATGGGAGATGCAATTCTAACTACAATGTTCGGCAAAATCAAGTGAACGATTTGCCGGAGGAAAATGGGAGTTTGTTAGATGGGGAAGAGATCGGAAATGGACAACAGAACTACAGGAATGAAAACCCAGCAAAAGAGAGGAAGATAGAGGGCGAACACCCATTTTGTGAAGATGAGGAGGAGGACGCAGAATCTCTGCTTTCTGCAGTTGGAAAATAGCTATGGAAGTTTGTAAATGCTTCATCTAATTTCTCAGTACATGTTGTAAATACTTTTGCAGATGCTAAAGAGAATACTATGGTTGCAATTTGAAATTTTGAATTTTAAAAATCTAAAAACTTTGGAATAAAATTTAAAAATTTTATATTAATTAACTCTGAAGTTTTGAATATTACTTTTAAAATTTTATTTATACCCAACAAATTATCCATTTTAATTTTTTATTTTAATTATTTAATTTTTAAAAACCATAACTAAAAACCGAAAATGACAATAAATTATATTAAACAGAGTCTCTAAATTATCATGTATAAAATGAGATGGAGTTAGCGTATAAATTTAAACTTCAAAATAATGCACGAAATTTGAACGAGGAAATGAAATGGGTAGGATTTAGCTTATAGTGCAAAAGAGAGATAAAAAGTAGACAGTCAAAATTACAAAAAGGAAAAGAAAAGAAAAAAAGAGAGGAGTAAACAGTAAAAAACTTGTCGACGTAAATAGTAATAAAAGAATTGGACCACATTCAAATTCCTTGCCTTCTCCAAAAGTCATCATCACTCCAACGAGGGAACAAAAAGAGAAGGATAACAAAGCTAGAACGAAACCAAGTAGCAAGCTGCACCAACAAAGATAAACGTGAGTTCTCTCTTCCATCCTATTTTCAAAACAGCTTAGAAGCATTTCCTGTGGACAATTGATGGACCGGATTCGTCGTACTCTGCCTTTGCAATCCACATCTGCAATCAAATAATGAGTTAAATCAGTCCATGTAATTAACAGCATGCATCTAAACATCAACGTACAGAATGCAGGAATGTGCATAGCGAAATAAACTTACTTGCTGGAACGTGCTAAGGGAAGCCAAGATTGAGCCTCCAATCCAGACACTGTACTTCCTCTCAGGTGGTGCCACAACCTTGATCTTCATACTGCTGGGTGCTAAAGCTGAGATCTCCTTGCTCATTCTGTCAGCAATACCAGGGAACATGGTTGACCCACCACTGAGGACAATGTTACCATATAAGTCTTTCCTGATATCCACATCGCACTTCATAATGGAGTTGTACGTGGTCTCGTGGATGCCTGCAGCTTCCATTCCTATCAAGGATGGTTGGAAGAGAACCTCTGGGCACCGGAAACGCTCAGCACCTATGGTAATGACCTGCCCGTCTGGCAATTCATAGCTCTTCTCAACTGCTGAGCTGGTCTTTGAGGTCTCTAGCTCTTGCTCAAAGTCGAGGGCAATGTAAGCAAGCTTTTCCTTCATGTCTCTTACGATTTCACGCTCTGCTGTGGTGGTGAAGGAGTACCCACGTTCAGTCAGAATCTTCATCAAGTGATCAGTAAGATCACGACCAGCCAGGTCAAGACGAAGGATGGCGTGTGGGAGGGCATAACCCTCATAGATGGGGACTGTGTGACTGACACCATCTCCAGAATCCAACACAATACCTATACAGAAAATGCACAACAATCATGTTGAAGTAAAACAAATACAACAGAAACATGTCAATCTAACTCCTTGACTTTTGCCCACAGTAAATTAGATGAAATTAGCCATCACATCAGGCATGCACTCTGGGAATTTAGAGACTTTTTCATGTGAATTTCTGTCAAGTAACTACAAAATTCAAACTCCAAATGAGTGGATGGTGAAAGGTGCTTACCAGTAGTACGACCACTGGCATAAAGAGAAAGAACGGCCTGAATGGCGACATACATGGCAGGGGTGTTGAAGGTCTCGAACATAATTTGGGTCATCTTCTCACGGTTAGCTTTTGGGTTGAGAGGGGCCTCAGTCAGGAGGACTGGGTGCTCTTCTGGGGCAACACGAAGCTCATTGTAGAAGGTGTGATGCCAGATCTTTTCCATGTCATCCCAATTGTTCACTATACCGTGCTCAATAGGGTATTTCAAGGTTAAAATACCTCTCTTGGATTGAGCCTCATCACCGACATATGCATCTTTCTGGCCCATGCCAACCATCACACCGGTGTGACGAGGACGACCTACAATGCTGGGGAACACAGCTCGTGGAGCATCATCTCCAGCAAATCCAGCCTATGACAAAACAAAGTGTCTGGTTATATCAGAAAGAAAGGATGGAATTGAACCAGAATTCAATAACCAAAAGAGTTCACCATAAACAGAAGGTTGCAATGATTACCTTAACCATTCCCGTTCCATTGTCACAGACGAGTGGTTGAATGTCCTCACCATCTGCCATCTCTTACTGCCTGCCCAAAATAAATCTAATCATTTGGGACAAGTATATCACCAAAGAGCAACATCAATCAATAGAGACATAAGAAATTCCAAAATTTTGGCATCAAACATTCTCTTTCATATCACAATCAAAATATTCTTATAAATTTCAAATTTGAACCAAAAATAGAAACAGATTTCCAAACATTAGTAGTAGATCAAAGGATAAAATTGAGGCATTTAGATTAAAAAAATCCTAAATACTGGATGCTAGCCTAATAGTACAAGGGCATTTCATTTTCTTCCCAATAATCTCTCCAAGAGAAAAAAAAAAAAAAATGAAAACAATTAGTCAACAGATTGATACCAAGTAAGACCATAATCAAGCTCAAATGGAACGGGCAAGATGAGAATCACGGACAGCAAATGCTGACAATCAAAATGAACAATCAACAACTGGATTCATCTATCTTCCAACATGCATGATTCTCAATATTCAGCTGCTACATTTTTTGTCTCAAAATTTCCTAATTTCAACACTTTTCTCTTTTTATCCTGATTTCTATGAAACCATAACTCAATTATTCAAAACAAAATTTAGCAGATCCAAATACAATCTATAACAAGCATGCAAACAAAATCAATTTAAAAAATCATCCGGAAAACTACATCACACCAAAAAAAAAAAAAAATCACAAATCAACCAAAAAAAGAAAAGAAAAGAAATGAGAGATGAAAATACAGCGACTGAAAATCAGATCTAACACTACACATGATCATCACCATAACAGAATCTAAACATAGCATAAACGAGAAAGATACAGACAAAATTAAAACAGAAAAAGCGACGGATCACCAGATCTAAATGATAACGAAGAGACGAGCAAGAAGAGAAGAAAACGACCTTGGAAAGAGGAGGTGCGTGCGACGGAGATTTGAGAGAGACGGACGGGGCAGAGTGAGAGAGGAGGAGGAGCAGGAAGTAAGGACCGATGAATTTTGAAAGGAAATAGAAGGAAAAGGTCAAGTATATGAAGGCAATTGATGCGATGTGGGCCGTTGGATTGTTTCAGGGGAACGCGTCATGGGCTCATTATTGCGCTTTTCCAGTCATTTTTTTTTTTTTCACCGTCTTGACCGTTTTGGGCTTCATATTTTTCTCTCCTCTATTATTTTCCTTAAAAAAAACCTCTGAATTTTTATTTTTTCTGTAAGGTAAAAAAAAAATTTTGGGTTCGAGATTTCCACTTTTTATTATATTACTCTTTTTATTTTTTTTCTTATTACAATTGAAATTGATTGTGGATTCAAGAATTAGCTTTTCATTACTTAAATATCGTTGTATTAGATTTAAACTTAAAATTTATAATTTATGACATAAAACTATTAGTAGTTACTTTCTTATGTTTTGTTGTCCATGAGACATTGCACCATATCATCAACGTGTTTTATGAAAAATAGGAAATTTCCTGGGCGCTTTAAGAAAACTACTTCAGAATTTTCTAATAATTCAATTCTATGAGGAATTTCAGTCTTTTTTTTAGGTAAGGAAGAGTTTTTAATATGGAAAGCAATATATATATATATATATATATGGAAAGCAAAAAAATAAAATAAAAATGATGACAGCATTAACCTCAGTATTATGTTAGAGTACATTCCTTTGAAGCAAAATAGATGATATTTTTCAAGTTCCAACCCAGAATAGTTGTCAACAATCAAACATCTTAATAAAGCCAGCCATTTAACACTTAAAAAAATTGATGTTGAAAATCTGAAGTAGACAACCAAGTTCCAAGCAATTCCAGGTGGATGGAGAGATAAATGATGCCAATGCATGGAAGTTTTAAGAGGAGACAATGAAGTAAGAAGATAATGAAGAAGTCCATCTGCATCTAAGAAGATCATGACAAGGAAAATGATAATCCTTCTTCCTTGTCAGAGGCAAACAGCTTACATTGTTTGAACAGAAGACAACTAATTGGAGGAATATGGTAAATGAACAAGTTCATATCTGAAATCGATTACAGCTTCAACTTTTCCTTCTGAATCTGAAACTTCAAACTACAGAGACCAACAGGAAGCAGGTCCAAAGCAGCTAGATTCTACAGGAATGGGGGCAGGATTAACCATCTGCGAGGATACTTTGGCCTTCCATCCTTTCCATCAAACAGCTGCGAGTGGCAAGAAGAAAATTCAGTAATAACAGAGGAAAAGAACACAAGGTGAACAAAGGAGTACACAAACATGCAAGCATGTGCACATGTCTATGCATTCTTACATGTAAATATTGCGCATCAATGCACATAATGATTTTTTAATATCATCCAAGTTCAATCTTAAGAAGTACACAAATACACCCATGCCACAATGCATAGACATACATGTGGAGATACATGCACTGCAAAAGTAGACACCAGTGGCTGCATGTTATATGTGAAGTATATTCTTTGAAATAAGGATCAAAACTAACATATCTTGATCCAATTCATCCAATCCAAGCAGGCACAAATGAAGGGCAAGATATCAACATAAGATGATTTCATAACAACTGAGTAGAAAATGAATGCTGTTTGAGGGTATGAAATAAAAAATGGTCACAAGCTCACCCAGAAAAGTGAGTGAAATACCTTTTTCAGACGTCGGTGCTTTGCAAGGGCCCAATTGGTCATGATAAGAGTTGCAACCACAAGAAATATATAACCAGCGATGGTTTGTGTTGCAATATTGAAACCCAACCATTGATAGATCTCTGTTGTGTAATTTGCACAGGTCACAATATTAAACAGAAAACCACGTGGAATTTGATACCCTCCACTCCCATCAGGGCTGCGTAGATTCTTCAGCAAGAGATGGCAGTACAAGTTTGACACTTGACAAATCAGCCCAAACGCAAATCCAATCTTCATCTGGAGGTCACTAACAGGAGTGTAAAGTGGGTGGTTCACATAGTAAGCAATGTAACAACCAAAAGTCCAGTAATAAGCACAATTTCGAAAGACATTTAATAGTGGGGATGTTGCATGACTGAATCGGTGGACAAAAAATGTTTCCATAATCCGTTTGAAGTAATGGAAACACCAGTAGTATAAAGCATACGTCTGAACAGGGTGGATGACGCGCTTCCCTTTGTAACCAAAGAATTGGTACACAGGGAAGTAGTAGAATACAGGATAGAGGACTAGTGGACCCAAGTACTCAAAGAAGAAAAGTGTACGGTAGGAAACTTGAGGACCCAGGTCCTTGAAGACCACAGTTATAGTTTCCTGGTTCCCATCACAGTAGTCTTCGAGACGTTTCTTGTAGTTGAGAACAACAGGCCTCTCCTTTGATCCCGGAGGAAGTGGGAGGGTTAATCTTTGTCTTGAAGGGTAGAATTTTTTAGCTGTCAGAAAAAGCCACAAAAGTCAGATCTTATAAATTGAATGACCAAGTATTCTGTCAACAAACACACACACCAGAACACTCACACAGGATGAATTAGAATGAATCAAAATAGCAACAGTTAATGAAATTGCAAGATACGTAAAAGAGGCCTAAAGGGCATATCCTAATTTTCAGCATATCAGACATCAGCAAATAGCCAAGTGATGAACTCAACTGCCAGGTCTATTAAGATCCAAGAGAACCCAAGCTTCTAAGTTTCATTTCCTTGGATGGAGGCAAGAATATCTAAATAAAACTACTTCAAAAATGCAAAGCTTACAGTAAAACAAAATCCACATATGAACACACACGACCCTAGCCAAGGTGGCTGATGATTAAATCCACTATTGAAATTACCACCACAAAATAAAAAGGGAAACTTTCAGTCCGAAGAACAATTAACAAGTGAATCCTTTAATCCTCCAATACCAGCACGAAATAGAAAGGGGAATAACATCTGCTTAACTCCAAGAAGGAAATTTTCCAGAAAGCAAATGGTAAAGCCAGAAACTTTATACTCCAATTTGGATAAAATTGCCACAAGTAACTTTATAACCTCCAATTAAAAGTTATAAGAAAATAAACAAAAAAAATTTACAATTTTTAGCTACACATCACTGGCTAACCGGTAAAACAAAAGCAAGGCACTTACTTCGTTTATGAATTGCCTCCTGCAGATCGGCCACAGTAGCCTGCAAGACAAAATAATAAGCTTCCTCTCTTTTCCTCCATTTTCCCAGAAAACAAACAGACTAATACAACTTAAAAGAAGTCGTAGGGGAACAGAGCAAACATACCGAACCAGGAAGCTCAACACCTCCTTTGACGATCTCTCTGCCACTCCTTGATACTACAGTGACCCTCATACTTACGGATCAAACAAGGGAGACCGAATTCACCAAATCCAATAAGCAAGAACCCCTCTGATATCCTGAAGCTAGAAACGGGAAGTGCCGTGAGAATTGAGATCCCAAAATGGGGGGGACTATGGTGGAGATATAAACGAAGCACTATGTCAGAGCCGTGAGAAGGGCGAGTTAATAGTATATTAAAGGCAGACAGTTGGGGGTGGGGGAGCTAACTCCGTGGGCTGATGAACTAAACCCCACCTTAATTGTTTTAGGCCGGCCCGTTTCAAGTTTGTGGGCCAGAGAGCCATTGACCGTCAAAAGTCTACGATCTTCACCGTCAAGATTTTGACACCGAGAAGGATAGACAAAGAAATTTTATTTTTCCTCCAATGGTAATGAATTTTTTATTTTTGAGAAAAAATGGACTAATCTTTGAGTGCAGATAGATCAAGTTAATCTTTTTCAATTAAATATTGTTTTTTTTTTTATGTGTCCTTAAAAAATTCTCTTTTAAAATTAACTTTCTTTTTTTAATAATTTATAATCAATATTAAACCAGGATAATGTCATTTGAAAAAATATTATTAATTTAAAAGATCAAAATTGACCCCAAAAAAATCCAAAAAGTCGAAATTAAAATACCTAAGTATGAGCGAAGATGATGGCCCCTGTTCCAACCGTTAACCGTCAACCCTCACCAACACCCTAACTACTTGGAATTTATGCTATATGTACGTTAATTATAAAAATAAAAATAAAAATAAAAAAAAGAGAGAGAGAAAAATAGTAAATTCTATGCTTGCTTCTTCCTCAACCAGAATGACTCTGCAATACCATATACACAAGGATGGGAACGATATTCATGATGAGTTATTTATCAAA